GCCGGAGGCGCCGCCGGGGGGGGGGGGGCCAGCGCGGGTGCGAGAAACCCGCGCGGAGCGCCACAAGAGTTTACGTCCGTGGCGCTTTTTCGTTCTTCCTCGACCCTCCTCCGCACCCCCTGCAGTTCGGCTATACGCAAGAGTGACCCTGGGTAAGAGTGACCTTTGGTGCGCGACTTTCTGGGGGCCGCGGGGGGACCAAACCTGGGAGCGCAAGCAGCTGCTACTGCTTCGTTTTCAGCCACCTGGGTACTCATCCGTGCCCGCACCAAAGTCAGGGGGACGTAAGACCTGGGTACAGGGGATTCGGAAATCCCCGACGAGGTCGTCAACAAAAATGACGAGGCCGAGCCTGCATTTTGACGAGGCCTCCCGCTGCAGACATCCCACGAAACACCTCCTCGTCAAAATCCGAGGCGCGGTCGTCAAAAAACGATGGCAAACCCGAGTCCTGGCAAACACGGGTCTTACGCTCCCCCGACAAAGGTCACTCCAGCGAAAGGTCACTCTTACGTCTGGTCGGGCAGTCCACGCGCCCGCCCGCCGAGGAGGGCGGACGCCGCAAGCGAGAGCGGAGGAGGAGGAGGCGGAGCGTGAAGGAGTCCAGATCCTAGTCACTCTACGGCAGGTTCGTGTCGTGACGACCCCGGCGTTGGTTTTTGACACCGCAGGGATCGTTCAACCTTGAACGATCGGCCGTCTCCGCAACGTCCGATCGTTCAACATCGATCGATTCTGGGTCGCCGGCGGCGTTCAACCTTGAACGCCGCTGGCGGGGTCGCCGCCGGTCGACACGACACAAACCTACCGTACCCTTCCTCCCTTCCCAGTCGCGCCTGCTCCACGATGGAGTCGAGGGAGGCTCGGCACAACAAATGCCTCTGACGCCTCCTCGTTGGGAGACGCGTGGCCAACCTGACGGCGTCTATCAACTGGTCGGCTTGGGAGAGGGACAATGGAAGCGAACTCTGATGGGACGCTAAACGATGTGTGTGAGGAGGAGGAGGAAGAGGAGGAGGAGGAGGAGGAGGAGGAGGATGAGGAAAAAAAAAAAAAAAAGGAGAGGAGGAGAGGAGGAGGAGGCAGGAGGGGAGGAGGCGGAGGAGGATGGAGGAGGAGAGGAGGAGAGGAGGGGAAGGAAGAGCGGCGGCGGCGGGCGGAGGCGTGAGGCGGTTCTGCTGAGGGAGGCGGCGGCTTCGTCGGAGGCGGGCGCCTTTGGGCACTGCGATGCGTGATGCGGCCTTGTGTGTGGGTGTTGTGTGGCGGTAGGGCGGACGCCGCAAGCGAAAGCGCGCGGGGGGCGGTCCCGCGGGGGCAGGCCGCGCGGGGCGGCAGGCCGCGGGGGCCGCCGCGGCGCCCTCCGGCGCCTTGCGGGGGGGCGGAGGGCCGCATCGCGCGGCGGGGCCGGGCCGGCGAGGCGGGAGAGCGGCGGCAGGCAGGCGAGGCGCGCGGGCGCCACGCCTGGCATCCTACAGGGCAGTTTTTAATGCATAGGATGTTTTAAACATGGGATGTTTAATACATGACTAATGTATGACTAAATTTATGCATGAACTCACCGTTGCTTTTAGTGCTAAGTCCCTGCACTTTTTAATACATGATCCGCACGCGGAGCATGTATTTTAACAAAGGCACTGTACCCTTCCCCACCCATCGCGCCGGGCTCGGGAGCCCTCGGCGCAGCCAACGTGCACGTCCTTCGGCCGTGCCCCGGTGTCGCCGCCAGGGTGCGTGGCGGGGGCAAGCCCACCTGCGCAAGCCACCCAGCAACCTTCAGCACCACCCTGCACCCTTCCCCACCCATCGCGCTGGGCTCGGAAGGCCTCAAGGACCGCCCCTCGGCGCAGCCAACGTGCACGTCCTTCGGCCGTACCCTGGTGTCGCCGCCATGGTGCGGGGCGGGGGCCCACCTGTGCAAACCACCCAGCAACATGCAGCACCACCCTGCACCCGACGGAGGGCTTGCTCGCAAGGGTCCTGCGCACAGCACCCTCCGTCTGGAGTTTCCTCACGACACTGGGGTGACACTACATCTGGCGAGCTGCAGGTGGGCTGGTTCTGGCTCTGGTTCACCCATCCCTTCCAATGGCGCCGATGTGCCTGTCCGCCGACGGGTGTCACAGCGGAGGGGCGGCAGGGGAGGGGACGGTGGCGGTGGCGAGGACGAGCAGAAGGAGGATCGGGCGGCGCAGAAGTGGGGGGGGAGGGGAGCTGGAGAGGGGGACTCCTGCCAGGCATCCTCGTCTCCATCACAATCGTTTTCCTCTTTCTCTCGCTCTATC